GAGCTCCCTTTTCACGCATTTGAGACTGATTTATGGAGCACTTGGACTGCACCAAGCCCATTTATTCTTCATTGATTCTCCCAGGCAGTTACTGTTGTCATAGCGAGCCATGGAGAACACATGCCATTTGCCTCAGATTATCCAGCAGGGAGACAGTGGAGCCAGAGCTGGAGAGCATTGCTGTTGGTCATGGGAAAGAGTTATGGTTCTGAGCTTGCATGGTTATCGAGTAATAGGAACTTTAAATTCCTTCTCTCTCCTGGAGAGCACAGAATAGAGGACACACTGTGATGTCATGCGGTACCATGCCCAGCTGTCCTGACAGCTGAGCCCCGGAGAAAAGGAAGTATGTTTGGTACCCTGAGAGTATTTTAGGATAGCCTTACACTGAGATGAAATCTTTACCATGATGAGTTGTGTTGGCACAAAAAGTTAGCAAATCTTGATTTCATGGTTGTTTGGTTTTATATTATTTTGTTTCCAATAAAGTTAGAATAGTGAAGACAAGACTTGATTACATTAGTGTAGTGTTTTTATCCACATCATCTCCCCCCAACAAAGCACAGACACTCAGAAACCCTTCCTTCTTTGATGTTGTTACAACTAAAGGATTTTACGAAGCAAATAGTCCAGTGGGCTTATTTTCTTTGGAGCATAATTCTTAAGCCATGTTCGAAGGCAAACAGAAAACCCCTGAAAGGCTCTTTGGTTTGTACTGTTCTCTTTTAGCAAGAATCGAAACTGGCTGTAAATAGTACATAGTGTCATGTACTGTTCTTTGAACTCTGTTTGTATAGCTGTCTCCTGAGGCTTGGTACTTTCTTTAGGTGTTGAGAAGACTGATCCACTCTATCACTCTTCGGGTGGACTGGAGTTGTATGGAGACACAAGACAAATGACATACCGCTCAAGATCAGACCTGGATCTCCCTCGATCTCCCTTACCATTCAATAGGTAAGAATTTATCAAACCTGGCTGGAGTAGCTACAGTAATGTTTGGGAGAGACACTGTTAGGACTTGTGAGTGCTTTGCATTGTGATAGCTAGACATCTTTAGTTATATGTAGTTTCTATATCTTAAAACTTAGAATCGAGCTACTTTTTCATTTCTAAATGGTTTCTAAAGGCATAGGAAGCATATGCTGTAGTTAGACATTGGAAAAGTATTGGCCACCATCCATTACAAAAACAAATTGTACACGCATGAAAAGTTGATTTACACATGTCCATCATTTACTGAGCACCTCTGAAGACTTGGTACTAGGCCTTCTTATGACATTGGCATCTTTGAGTTTATTAAAGAGTTACCCTTGCTATCCTCTATTTAGAAGTCTGGGAGTATAGATCAGGGAAGAGACAGGCTGGTAACTTAGCTGCATTGTTTCTGGCAAATTGGATTCCTGAACATACTCTAATCCATAGGTACCCAGGGACCGTAGCTGATTTAAATACTCCGTCTCTGACCTACCCTCAACTCCAGCATTACAATCCTGGCAGAACTCTGACAGATTACGTCACCCAGATGGAGGCCTTGCAAAGACGCCTCGGAACTACTGTACAGTCAGGTGCTGCGTTTTACACTGTCTGTCGTGGCGGTGCCAGACCCCCCCTCTCTCAAACCCCTCGACATGCTCCTTTGGGTTAATCAAAAGTCCCCAGGCTGTCCCAGCTGCAACTCTGACCCGCAGAGAACTGGCTCTTTAGCACTCCCTCGTTCCACCAGCAACCCCTGACAGAACGATTTGGTACTGTCTTCATTTGGAGTAGACAAAACGCATGATCACTGCAGGGTACTGAGGCTGAGCCCACGGCAGAACCTGGTCCTCATATGGTAGAAAGCACAAGGTGTAGAAGGCAGAGCAAGCCTTGCCCTAGGCAAGTAATGCAGCCATTGTCCCCATTCCTAATTGTCCTTCTATGTGTCATTTAAACAAGCCATCCCCTGTGAGACACTGTAAGCATCATCTTTTCTCTCCTCCAAAGTTCAGTGTCATACAGTCCACAAAGTGGACTTGAAGGGCTGGAGAAATGGCTCAGCAGGTTAAAAAGGCCTCCAAGCCTGAGTACCTGAACTCAGTCACTAGGATCTACATGGTAGGAGAGAAGCAGCGCCCACAAGCGGCCCTCTGACCTGCACTGTGGGATGTACCTACACACATAGATCAAAATGTCATTCTTAAAGGTTTTTACAGATAGACTTTGTAAGAATTCTTTGATTCTTCAGAACTGTACACACAGTATCGTACCTTATGTAGAGGCAGATTCCATTCATCACGGGACAACTTCCCGGTCTCCACTCTCCACTGGCCCAAAGACTGGGTCGTTTTCAAGTTGCTGTGCTGGCAGTGCACTGGATGTTTTGGTTGTAATTATTTATTCTGTGTATGGGAGGCGAAGTTTGCCTCCATGTTTGTGTGTACCACATGCATGCCTGGGGCCTGCCGAGGCCAGAAGAGAATGTCGGATCACCTAGGACTGGAGTTTCAGATGATTGTGAGCTGCCATGTGGGTGCTGGGAATAAATCCAGGTCCTAGAAGAGCAGCTAGTGCTCTACTAAGTGGTCTCTCCAGGCCCTAATCACTTTTAAGGACTCTCTTTCTGTGAATACCACATACTGTGGCCTAGTTATTTAAAGCTAGTTTAGCCCTTTATTCAAGAAGTCATTTGTTAAACCCAAGCAACCTTCAGAGCAGTCAGGAAACACATTAGCATTGTCTCACTTCCCTTGCTCTAGGCCAGTCATGGTGACTTCTAAACGTAGTCAGCCTCTTAGAACTAAGTTCAAGTTGTGGGAGCTGAAGAGATGGTTGAGTTAAAGGACCCACACCGTTGTTCTGGAGGACCTGCAGCTGGTTCCCAGCACTCACTGTCAGATAGCTCACAACTCTCCTGTAACTCCAGCTTCAGGAGATCCAGTGCTTTAGGGCATTCTTGGGACTGTACTCACATGGGTGCATGCACACACACAAACACAAGCACACACATAAATCTTTAACAAAAATTGAAGTTCAGGCCTGAAGACACTGGGTTTGTTTTCATTGTTTCACATTTTTGTGTATATGCGCGCCTGTGCCACAGCATGCATGGGACATTGAAAAAAACCTGCAGAAATTGGTTGTCCTTTCCTATGTGGGTCCCAGGGATCAAACTCTGATTGTCAGGCTTGGCAGCACCTTGGCCATTGAAACATCTTGAGAGGGTTTTTAACAGATCATCTGCCTGTGTAAACTGGCTGCCTGATAAAGGTCACAATCTAATTGTCTTGTTTTTTATTTTACAGGTTCACCTTCATTTCAGTTTCACACTGGCATGAGGAGATAATCCTCCATTTCATACTGGCATGAGAAATGCGTATTAATTGAATTTTAAATAGATTCCCTTTTATAAATCAATGGCTCTTTTGTGCTTTTTTATTGTGAATATTCAGTGGGACCAACCAATGCAAACACATTTATGATTGTATACGAATCCTTGCCAGCACATGAAGATAAACTGGAGTTTGTGTATATAGGCATTGTGTGTGTTTGTGCACAATAATCATTACATTACATGTATATTTGTGGGATGCTAATTTAAATGGTTAAATTATAAACTGTATTTATCAGATGGGTGGAAAGATTAAACTTTTCCAATGACGATGCTGCTGGATGTGTAGCGTGCAGTCTCCTGCGCTTTTCTTACAAGGCTACCTGTTTCTGCCTAATAGATTTGCTACTGGTGATGAAGACAGCACGTCACTTGTAGAGACCTATTTTTGTATAATGGTAGAAGTTTTGAAGTTTCCTGGGGTATTTTGTCAAGTACTGAAATAAAAATGACTTCACCATTTTCACCATACTGTATTTGAACCTTCTTCATTTTTAACTAAACCACAGCTCAGCTCATGGTATATATCATCTTGCTACTTATCTCTAATAAGGAGAACTTAAGATCCAAAAAGTGGGTTTCTCTCTCCCTCCATTACAGAACATTTTCAGTGTGCTTTGATAAGTGTTTTCAACTCTTAAGTTGGCATTCTCATGATTAGTCCATAGTTTGTTACATTTAGTGTTCTTGTGTCCAAAAAAGCCTCATTACAAAACTAGACACAGAAATCAGCTCTAAGCTAGCCAAATTCTAATTGGGAAACTCTCAGCGAGAATACAACTCTCCAGGGTGTTTCTAGAAGATACTGTTTCACTCTTAATGGCCTTTGACTTATAGGAGCACAATCACAAAGCCGTACATTGCTGGAAATTTCTAATTCGTATTATTTCCCATATTAGCAACTGAGCTTTCTAGAAATAGCAAAGCTATTCTAAAACAACTAGTCGAAGGGGAAAGTTGTACATAAAAACCTTTTAAAGCTAATACAGTTGCCAAGTCAACGCAGTTCTGTATGGGAAAGGCAGATGGACAAGTGCTTGCCAGCTAAGTCCACCCCACTGCTGGATGGACCGTCAACCCTCCTATGGCCTCAGGCCTCTACCATGTAATCTGCAGTAACTGGTCTGTGCTCAAAACCAGTTGGTCTGTTGAGTTCTAGTGCCTAGGCCCTTTATTTAATTCTCATCACTGAAAATATGTCAAAGTCTAAAACTTGTCAGTAATCAGTTACTCAAGGGTCACAACTCTGTGCCACAAATCTACAAGTCTAATCAAAGTCTAGAACCTTCTCAGAATAATATGAACAGGATATCTAGGCTTGCAGAGAAAGTCAATTACATAGAAACAATCATCAAGCTTTACTAAAAACTGTGACCTATCACATGTCAGTGCAACATCTGTGTCCTAGAAGTCCTCTAAGAACTACCATAGCACAGAGAGAAAGACATGCTTTGCTGTGAAAATGCCTGAGGTTCTCATGGGAGCTGCTAACCCTAGTGACGTGCCTAAATTCATAGCTGAAGGAAATACCAGCGGGAGCCTAATTCATACAAATAGGATGTCATTTTCCAAATTCTCGGATCCTTTGAACTGTACTACTGAAGCACACACTTTAAATCCATGAATAGACTAGTCAAATTTTTCTCATAGAGAATTTTAATGTGAAACCTTTAACAGCAGAGATTTGGGCCTTCATATAAAGTCTTCAAGCCTCTTAAAACTATAACATACTTTAGAAAAAAAAGTTACTTGGGGGAGGGTGTTTCTTTTTTGTTTTTGTTTTTGTTTTTGGAGACAGTCTTGCTATGTAGCCTAGGTTGTCCTCAAACTCAAAATCCTCCTGCCTCAGCCTCAACTGCTAGAATTACAGCATCCCACAGGGCAACAGAGTCATCTTGACTCCTAGTACAGATGATGGGCATGTCAGAATTGGGACCATGGTTACAATCTGCTAGGTTCAGGCTCCTGAACACAGCCCCCACAGAATACAGCCAGTGATACCAGTTCCCATTCCAACCTAAAGCCCAGAAGTCACTGGTCTCAAGATACTACCCTTTTAAAAACCTGGTCATTGAAATGTCCCTAGTTGTGTTCTGGAGAGGGTACAGAGAACCTCGAGCAGGTCACAGTCAGACCCCAGAAGATTCACCAGAGAATGACCATGTGGAAACAGCGCTCCAGTATCTCTCATCTTCAGGAAATATGGTTATCAGGGTCTGAGGTCTCTGCCATCTCCCTGTAGTGGTGCTTCAGGTTAAAATTTCAAAGGCCTCATCACTCCCTCTAACTGGTGTTCATTTTTACCCACAGTTCTGGCAGTGAGCTTATTCTGTACCTTCTCACATCTTTACAGAAGAGGCCCACATAATACGAATAACCCATGGCCTTTGCAGAATTTGAATAGGCTTTTAAACTTGCAAAACTAGACTCTCTAAAAGTGGTCTCCCTGGGGCAGTGTGTGCTTCTGAAGTTAATACCTGGACACTGTATTCTCTAGCGTCTGCCAACTACCTAGATTTCCCGAAACAATTTCTAACTCAAAAGCTTGGTTTCCATGAAGTCCTATCAAAACACACCCTATCGAAACTATTACAAACTGTTTGAAATGCCATTAGAGTTGATAAAATCACTGCGTTAACACAACATTGAAATCAGACTGGCTTTCCGAATTACACTCAAAACACAGTACACAATGAAAGCTGTTTGTTAGCTTCATTCTCTCTGGAGCTGCAGCTTGCAGTCATGAACCCACACTGGTCCCTGGTTCCTTTTTCATTCTGATCTTCTTTTGTAACGGATTACTGGGTTCTCGGGGGTGTGAATCATTGTTGTGTAATTCACATTGGGAAAATATCCATCGATGAGGTCAAATTCATATAAACGAAGCATAGTAGACCAAATTGTCTTAATTTGAACATATGCAAAATTTTCTCCAATACAGCGATGACGTCCTGTTTAAAAATAAAAAAGTTTTCATCAGAGTAAGTTTTGACAGTCTTGCCTCTCTCAGCCTGGAGTCACACTTGTTTTAGATGAGCAGGAGAACTGCAGCAGTACAGTAAAAGGATGACACCTTGTACATAAAGTGAGACTGTACATCATTTGAAAGTCCAGGTAGTTCCAGTGTTAGAAGAAAGTAGGGTTGATTATGATGACATTTTTTGAAATTTAGTGTTACTGAGGTCAAACATAAAGAAGGTTCTAATCATAAGATGATAATCTAGCTTGGGTATGTGTAGAATATAGGTCCCAAGAGAGCTCTGGTGTTAAGTCAGGGTGAACCTGACAATCAAAATTCCACATCTCCATTACAGTGACAATAGAAGGGGATTTAATAAAGCCAAAATAACATCTGTATACTGAAATCAAAATCTACAAATGCACAAGCTGAGAAATCGCAAAATGCACAGGAAAACAAGGCCAGAGCTACCTTAAACATGGGCTACACTAAAGAATTTAAATTGATTTCAAATTTGATCACATGACTGAAGGTCCAGGAACCAGTGCAGTGTGGTACTAGACAAGGATCAACAAATAGATCAAAGGGATAGAACACAGAGCCCAGAAACAATCTGAGGGCTATCTGGGTCTCAGCAAAGGTCCTTGGAGCAAGCCGAGAAAATGCTGGAATACCAAGACATTAAACTGTGGGTGTGAGGAGAATCTAGGAATCACAAAATTCATCCTTTTCTCACATCAAAATAGTTCAAGACAATCCTAGATTATCAGTACTAAAGTCATTAAGGGTTAGTAAAGAACAGGAAATCACATTCATGACATGAGGCTGGGCAAAGACATGGCCATGAATGTTTTAAGTCTGAAGCATTTTGACCAGGGCCCAGCATTGTGGTATGTGCCTTTAATCCCAGCATTCAGGAAGCAGAGGCAGACTGATCTCCATAAATTAGAAGCCAACCTGATCTACAGATTGAGTTCCAGGCCATCAAAAGGTACATAGTAAGACCCTGTCTCAAAAAAAAAACCAAAGAAAGAAAAGAAAAAAAAGAAAAGATTGGGGCATCTTTGTTGTAAATATTTTTTGCTAAAGAAAAAACAAAATTGAACAAAGCTTATCATCATGCCTGCATAGCCCATTAAGCATTTATTTGTGGGAGCCACATTTAAGGGAGCCACTTACATTGGTCTGTATTCAAGAAGTCTGTCTTAAAGTAAAAAGTTAAAAACTGAATAGCCACAGACCAGAAGTGTCCTAACTGAATCAACAAAAGAATTGATAAATTCTGATGATTTACAATGTTACATAAACAATGTTTATAAACAGATAAATAACAAGGAAAGACAGAGCAGTGGCTGGAGTGAGATGCAGCCACAAGCCAAGGATTGCCAGTAACTTCTACAACTGGGAAGAGGCAAGAAGCCTTCTTCAAAACCTTCAGAGAGTACGGCCCTGCCAACACACTGACTTCAGGTGTTGCAAGGTGACAGACAATCTTGTTTTTAGATACCTAGGTTATGTTAGGTATCTAAAACACCTAACACTCTAAAATACTAACATAGGGGTGAAGAAAAGCCAAGACTATGATTAGGACCATCTATTGACAGGATATTAAAAGGATTTAATAATTTAAGCTGTCCAGAAATGGACTATGTTGCTGCATAAGGTAAAGGAGCAGGCCTGTCCATGAAAGCAGTGGGAACAGTTACCAGTTTAGTGATGCTGCCTCTCGTTACAGAATCTGAACTGCCTAGCTAACAGCCCTTTCCATTATTAATCTACAATCCTTTGTATCTTCTGTTAAGTGTATTTATTAAATAATGATCTGAAGTTCAATGGCTTCCTATGTTTGGAACTATTAAAAGGACGTGGGTCAGAGAGCCTAAGATTTACCCTTAGACTTACGAAATATTCCATTTCACAAAGATCCCATTCCCAATGGCATATTCCTTTGAGAAAAAAAGATCTTTCTCTCCTCCTCCTCCTCCTCCTCCTCCCTTCTCTTCTCTGTCTCTGTGTCTCCTCTCCCCCCCCCCCCCCCTTTGGTAACTGAATTTCAGGTTGGTTTACTGAAGAAGGACAGATACGTTAAAGAGGCAAACACTTCAACCTAACTTGTAAGCAGTCATCTTACCAGCTCCAAATGGCACATAGGCAAACTTCTCTCCTGATGCTGGGTTATCCTGTAAGTAGCGGTCAGGATTAAAATCCAAGCGTTGGACCCAGGAGTCTTTCAGTCTTTGATTGACAGTAGGAGAAACACACACCTGATGTCCTGGAGGAATGGTGTACCCTGCCACAGTCTACAAAGTGAGAAAGAGTACATTTCATTAGAGAATGTTTCAACATGGTACCAAACAAGGCACTAATCAGTGTCAATGTCAACTATACATACATTTAAAAACTGTCTAGATGATAAACCAACTAAAGTTATCTTAAAAGTGATTTACAAGTGGACCAATACTAAACTAGAAGTATATATACAAACCCAGCCCAAGGCAGAATAGAGTTTCAAAAACTTCATAATCTGACCTATATAATTCATACGATTTAAATAAATATATAATATATATATATATTATATTTAAAGCCAACAAAGAAGTGTACCTCAAACATTTAAAAACTGCAATTGTTAAATGAAAAACAAAATTAGAATAGCATGTTCACTACCTGTAATTATGTACCAATTTTCATAGGTTTACAATAACGACAGTTTTTACTTTTGTAACGTGAAATATTCTCTCTGTAACTGGGTCCTAGGCGGGGAAGTCTAGCCAAGACTCACCTGCGGGGTCCTGGCCATTCTCATCATGGTCATTATAGGAGGCCTCAGTCTTAACGTTTCTTTTATGCATCGATCAAGTAAATTCAGATCCTTCAGCTTAAAACAAAAAAAGATCAAGGATCATTTCTGGGTTTCCCCCCACAAATATCCACCATCCCTCCAGAGTAGGAGGGAATTGTTTTAATTTCCTCGTCCGCGTGAGAGTGAAAGAGTAAGGGTAACTGGGTCACGATGGCAGACGGCCACTCACAGTTGTAACACTCAGTCAATGGGAAAAGGAGGGCCAAAATAACAGGACGGGGGTCAACTGTATGGTTAAGGACAAATAACATTCACTCTTTGAAAAATTGAGATAGTCAAAAATCAGTGTCAACTTTTTCAAAACTCTGACAAGTTAGACAAAGGCATGTCACAATCTACCACAAGTTCCTTCAAAAAAAAAGTGCTGGATCTCGGTGAGAAAAGCAAGCTTTGGTATGTAACTTACACTACTGCAGATCAATGGGAGCCTTGGAGAGCAAAGCACGGCTGCTAGAGCCCCACTGCTCCAGAGAGGCCAGACCAAATGTGCCAAGAATAGCCAGATAGAGTGGCACTGCCCTCCCACATTCAGAAGCAGAGGCAGCCTGAGCTACATTGAGAGTGTGTCTCAAAAAAACAAAAACAACATCAAAAAAGATCCAGCAGACATCGTTTAACAGTGTAAGTACCTGAGGTACTGATACACAAGAGAGAAACCAAGACGCTTTAAAAGAAAACACCTGGGGAATAAACACGAGACGTCTACAGGAGACTCTGAACACATGCACTGTACGGGAAATGAACACAAGACGTCTACAGGAGACTCTGAACACATGCACTGTACGGGAAATGAACACAAGACGTCTGTCTACAGGAGACTCTGAACACATGCACTGTACGGGAAATGAACACGAGACGTCTACAGGAGACTCTGAACACATGCACTGTACAGGAGAGCTACAACATGCAGCATGACAGAGATCCAATCTCCCACCTGTGCAACCAACACACACAGCAAGTGAAGGCTGAGGCAGAGTTGTAACCACTTGAAGGACTGTTGACAACATGCCCTGAACATGCAAAGCTCCTCAGCAAAAGCTAAGAGTTAAGACAGTTTTTTAAGAAATCTCTAATGGATATGCCCAGGAATAGCAGCATCTTTAATCCCAGAGGCAGGCAGACATCTGGGAGTTCAAAGCCAGGCTGGTCTACATACACAATGAATTCCAGGCCAGCCAGAAAGACATAGTGAGATGATGTCTCAAAAAAAAAAAAAAAAAAAAAAAAAATTAAGAAATCTCTGATCATTATGTGGCCACAAAAATAAACAGCAGAGTTCAGTGAATACAGATGCATACAGACTTCCTATAATCCTGTTCATCTGTTTATGAAAGTCCCTGAACACTCGAAGAGCAAACACACTTACAAACACCTGCAGAAGTACTAAACCTCGGGGGAGGGATCTCCCTTCCAGAGTCGCTACTGCTTGTCAATGTAGTGAGTTCAACAAAAATATTAGAAACTTTCCAAAAAAAGGAAAATAAGAACTACAGCTCATCCATACCACAAATGGAAGATTAATGTGAACTATCCCCGACTAGATTTTTTTTTTTTAAAACTAAAGCAACTAGCCTCTTGGAGAGCATTCAAATGTAGTACTAACGGAAGAGAAATCCACAATGGCTCAGCAGTCAGAGGCCACTTGAGACACACAGGACATGTCCATCCTCCCTGCTGGCCAACTCTCTGTCAACCCTTCCTCTCCCTCCTACAACCTCAGCAGCTGCCAAGTGACCTCAAGGACCAGACCTGCAGCCCCAGGTTTGTGCGGCTGCCATCCTGGAGCCTGCAGAAGGAGATGGGCGGCCATGACCACAGCTTCCAATAAGGAAAGACCCTGAACTCACTAGATGAATTTAAACCACCTACTATAAAGACCTTAAAAGAACAAAAAGAAAATTGGGCCTAAAGAATTAAAGTATGAAACAATATGACAATATCTCACCAAATAGAGAATAATACATTATTTTAAAAATATAGAAATTCTGAAACTGGAAGATATAAGTACAGTTTTCACTAGAGTAGATCAATAGCAGATTTGAACTGCCATGAGAATGGATGCAAAAAGAACACTCAAGGGTTGGCAAGATGGCTCAGCAGGAAAAGGCGCTTGCTGCCAAGCTTGATGACCCGAGTTCAATCCCTGGAACCCACAGAGTGGAGAGACCCAGCTGTTCCATGCTGTTCCCTGACCACCACCTGTGTACCATGTCACATGCATGCACATACCACACACGATAAATGAAACACAAAGCATTCAAAGAATAGGCTTAACAAAAAGGTGTAAATCTTTTCACTGAAAAGTAAAAAAATAAAAAATAAAAATGTTGGAAGAAATTAAAAGACCAGAAAGAATGAAAAGCCATGATGGTATGGTTCATGGGGTATGTCTAAAAACTAAGAGTGTTAGGATGGCAATATCCCCAAGCTAATACACACACACAGTGCAATCAATCACAAGTTCACAGAGACTGACAAGCTGACTCTAAAATTCTTACAAAAACTGAACGAACTAGGAATATCTCTAACAATTGGAAAGGATGAGAGCCACACTCTGAAATTCAAAACTTGCAAAAGTAAACAGAGAGCTAAAACATAAGCTAGACATCAGCTTGACAGGATGGAATTCGAAGTTCAGAAATAATGCTTTATATTGATGGCCAATAGATTTTGACAAGATCACTTAGTGGGAAAACAGTCTTTGCAACAAACAGTGCTGGTACAAAGGGATTTCTACATTCAAAACAGGTACAATGGTCCCTCACAGCACATTATATTCAAATTTAATTCAAAACAGGTCAAAGACCTAAAAGTAGGAGCAAACTAAGAAGAAAGCAGAGGGTAATTCTTCACACCTTCTGAAAACACACACAAATGTTCAGACAGTGAAAGGCAGCCTATATTATAAAGGGATAGGATCTGAACAGACATTCTTCTAAGAAAACATCACAAAATACTCATCTTAGCCATCAGGGAAAAGCCACTGAGCTCAAAAGACCACTTCACATACATTATAGCCAGGACAGATAACCATTAGATAAGCATGTGTAACCATCAGAACACATGTCAATACCGTCGATGAGGTTAAAAATGGAGCAAATGTTTGGAAAACATCAAACACGTAGTTGCTGTACAACCCAGCAATCCTAGCAATCCCACTCCTAAGTATGCACCTCACGAAGTGTGGTGACCCGACTGTCTAAAAAATGGACAAATGAATGAGTGACATCAATATGTGCACATTATAGAATACTACTGGAGACAAACATTGAAATACTGACACACGCTTCGACATGGAGGGACCTTAACCCTGCTATGGTTTGGATGTCATTAAATATGTTCACCAGCCACTAGCACTCAGGAAGCCCAATTCAGGGATCTCTTGAGTTTGAGGCCAGCCTTGTCTATATAGCAAGTTCTAAGCTAGCCAAGAGCTACCCAGTGAAACTCTCTCAAAAAAAGTGTTCCCCAAAGGTTCATACGGTGATGGCAAGAAGTAGTGGAACCTTTTTAAGAGACTAATAATGGGTGGTCATTAGCGATATGACCCTCTGAAGGGGTTAAGGTCAATTGGTGAAGAAGGAAGTTAATTCTTAAGAGGTAGCTGGCATATTACCAGTTAAAGACGACACAATAAAACTATGGATAGTCTCTATTATATATGTTTATATATGATTATGCTTAGCAAACAAAATTGAAAACTATACATACACATATATGGATTTATCCCAGGAGTGTAAGAATATCTGTATGTAACACACCATTTTAATAAAGTGTCAAAACAAAATATAACAGGAAAATGATAAGAACAGGGTATGCTTCAGAAGTAGCTGCCCAGTTATACAGTGAGAGACCTCTCCCGCCTTCCTGCCCAGCAAGCTGGGTAGAGTGCCTATCAGTTTCTAGTCCCCTTTACTACCATTACCATTTGAGGAAATTTCTGCCCAAACACAGCCACAGAATTCCATGTAATCCGAAGCTCCTACACTTCATTAAAATCCGCAACATGCATATGATACACTCCATGCAACGGAGGTCAGCCATTAAAGCCAGGCACCAAAGCAACAGGGCAAGGCGTTCGAAAGTCTCGGTAGGAACCCACCTGAGAAGCTTAGGGAAGCAATAGCTCGACTCGCTCTCTTACTAAGGTTGTAGAAAGGCTTCTAAAACCCTATCAGTCGAAGCCACAGTAAACAGACAGCCTCAGAGCACACTGGAAACAAACCTGCTCGTAAGTCAGGGGAGGCAGGTCGTCGCCACACACCGCTTTCTGTTCTAAGTAGCACTTTTCTTGAAGCTGCTTGTCTCTGGCCAAAAAGAAGCCCATCCAGGCACTGGTGGTGGAGGAGGTGTGCTGCCCCGCGAGCAGCAGTCCAATGAGCATCCCCGCTACCTCGTCATCTGTCAGAGGGTGCCCGTCCCTGGGGGTGAACCACACACTTAACATTGGGCAGACAGTTAAGATTAATACACTTGCCATACATAATCGACTCTTTCTTTACCTGCTACCAGTCAGTGTCCCCGGTTCCCCTCCCAGTAGAGACCAACCAGGAGAAAGCATGATGTGGTGTACAAAAGACTTCCTTCCAGTTTATTCCAGCTGCTGGCGTCGCAATAAGGCATGAGGGGCCAGTGCTTTATGTCTCAACAATTTACAAGTGCCAATTTATTGTTCCGCTGCCCTTACTTTAACTGGAAATACCAGCAATCTACATTTTCATGTATAACTTCTTGTGTGATCGGACAGTTCTTACTTGTATGTGGAGTCTAGTAACGTTTGGAGAATGTCATCCACCTTTTCTTCTGACTGTCTGCGTTTCTTGATGACCTGATAGAAGATATTCTTGATCTCTCGATGGGCTCTGTCCCTGCGTCTACAATTTAAAATTAGAGTATTTTCAATCGAATAACATTTCATAGGCTCACATTCAAAACCAACACCAAACGTAAAGCAACATTAACTTTACTGACTGAAGTAAGTGACAGAAACTCAGAACCAGAAAAGAAAGGAGTCAGGAACTCCCACTGCCGGGCATATGACAGTCCTCAGGGCGAGGACAGTCCTACACAGCTCATACTGCTAACGCACTACCTCCATAAATAAGCATGGCATTCCCTTACAAGCATTTTCCAGTTCAACATAATACATGTCTAAATTAACATAACACTCTAATTTTTCCAAATCAATCCTCGAAGCTACCAAGCCACACTGGCTCTTGCATAGGATTTTAGTCTACTCACTTTCTATAACTGTATAATTTTTGCAAGTAGAAAAATCCTTGTAGGTTCAAAACACAAGCTCCAACTCCCAAAACATTTCCTTTGATCAACCTGTTTACTGTGTAACAGGAACTGGGAGGCTCAGGCCTTTGTCTCTGATAGCAAGGCCACACGATCATAGCTAGTGAGCAACAGCTAGACTAAAACCAAGCAATCTTGAGACTGAGAAGGTGGCTCAGGAGTTCAGAGCTCTTACAGAGATTGGGAGTTGAATTCCCAGAAACCACACCTGACAGGTCAGCCTGTAACTCCAGCTTTATAGGCTGTTTGAGCTGCTAGATAATGTCTCTAGCCTCTGTGAACACTAGCACTGTTTGAGCTGCTAGATAATGTCTCTAGCCTCTGTGAACACTAGCACTCATGTGTGTGCATGCACACACAGAGAGAGAGACAGAGAGGGGGAGAGAGAGAGAGAGAGAGAGAGAGAGAGAGAGAGAGAGAGAGAGAGAGAGAGAGGCAAGAGACTTAAAAATACAATCTATTTTAAAAAAGCAATACTGACTCCTAAAAGCCCATCATGTTCTCTAACAAAAGCCACCGTAGTTCATGTAAAGGGCTGCTGCTGAAGACGACTGAGAGAACACACACAGAAAGGAAGACTCCGCCTCAAGCCTCACAGTGTGAGTGGAAGAGAGGGTAGAGCAGAGGGTAAGGCTTGTTTAGTAAGGGAATAGTGATGGTGTGACTTTGAGGTAGAACATGTGTTTAGTATGCCCAAGGCTCTAGTAACAAAAATAAAAAGTACATGGAATAATTTCATTAAATCAGTTGGTTTGAGTAAAACAGGGAAAGACCAGGCTATAACATGAGGCTCTTCCAGAATTCGGACATGAGCCAGGGAATGGAGTGGGCAGAAACAAGAGGATGTTCGTGTATGGGCAGCTATGGTGAGAAGCAGTGCAGGGCATGCCAGCCTAATATACACAGAAGCATTTGTTTTCTTTTTTTTTAAACTACAAAGCTCCTCATAACCGTTGACTCCCAGGGAACCTCTCTGGGCTGGCCCTTGCACTGTGATAGCCCTTTTTTGGCAGCTAGAGGAGGAGCAGATGTCAAAGGAACAAAGCTAAGAGTTGACTCCCCATTGCACGTAAACAGAAATGACCCAGCAAGGGAGGGAAAGCTGGCAGCTGGCAGGGCCTGGGCACCGCCAAGTCCTAAAGGCCACATGTCTTTACATCAGAGACAGTCCCTGTCCTTAAGGAGACTACAGTACAGCAGCAAGAGACAAACGTTCAAAGGAAAGGTCACAAGAGAAGTACCAAAAAAGCCATCAAAGACTTTCCACAAGTCCCTTTAAAAAGTTGCGCTCTAAGTACAGCTTAGAAACTTCTTGGAGTACAAAGACTACATTAGGTAAGCAAAACATCACAATAGACAACAAACTACCTTATCAATAAAATAAAACTACTTTAAACAAGCTCACTGTGTGAACTGTCTTGAATTCTTATAAAATGGAGGCTCCTAATCAGCCAAAATTAGAAAGCACAGCAACAGTACAGCAACTGTGGAAAGGCAGCCATGTGCAAAGTGGTCCTTATCCATACCTGAAACTAGGCAGAGGCAGCCAGCCCGGCAACAGCCAGGCGGCATGGCTAAAACCTCCATCCAAATCCGCATACAGTTGGGCCACCTTCTCATTGAGTTGGCTTCTAATTTCCTTTCCATGTAAACAATGGCTAGCTGTTAAAATGATGAGCTCAGAAAGTGCTTCAAACACATCTAAGGGGAAGAAAAGATCATTCTCATTACAATTTTTAAAAATCTTTTAAAATATTTTCTTGAACATATAAAGAAATTGTGAAGAAAAATTGGGAAAATATATATACACATATATAAATATATACTATATATATAAATGTATATATATATATTAATTTTGAAACTCAAAAGCAAGCACAATCCTGTTCATACCTCCAAAAGTCTCCAGACAGCTCTGTAGCTATGCAGAACTCTGGAGGCAACAAATCATTGACCACACTGCCCCTCCGGCCAGCTAAACTCAATGCCACAAAGCACCTCTACACCTTACTCATAAATTCTTCATCTTAAAGAGATAAGATGACTATTAAAAATAAAGCAGTAATCTGACTTCCAGGTCATAGCACCAAAGCTGTGAATAACATCCTAAAGTTTACTCAATGCATATGAGGACAATAATGAGGACATTCCCAAGAAACAGGAGTCCCCAAACCAAAGGTGGTATTTTTTCTGGGCCAGATGAAGACAAGGCATAAATACAGAAGTCTCGGCTCTATGTACTAGAAAACTATAATCACCATTATGCAGCCCAGCACTGGAGACAAGCATCCGGAAAGCCCATAGGATGGCCCTTGAAAGTCACGAGACTCATCTAACTCTCTTTGACTCTACTTCTATCAAATGAACTTCCAGTTAACATCTGGCTTTCCAGTGAGACTTGCCAAAAAGGAGATCAGAAAACATGCTGGTCCCCTTGGGGCTCTAATGACATGCCTCGTGCTTTTACTTTCAGACTTTGTTTTAGACTTTGGGGTTTTGACATGGGTTGTGCCATGTAGCACAGGCTGTCCTCAAACTTGTAATCCTTCTGCCTCTACTCCCCAAGTGCTAGGATTCCAAACATGTGCCACAATTGTTTGTCATAAGTGAGATCATGCCTGTAACCCCAGCATTCAGGAGGCAGAAGCAGGAAGATCCCTAGTTTGAAGCCAACCTGTACTATACAGCAAGGCCCTTCACAAAGAAACCAACAATAGGCATTCTAATGTACACATCAGTTCCTCTGTGACTAGAAATTACATCACATCAGCTTCAGGTGTAGTAGAAATAAAGTCCTTACACCTTTTATAGGAGCTGACACCCAGCGGCAGGAGGTGGGGACGTGCGGCCTTGCGTCCCACTGGCTATGAGCAGATACTGCTCCTGGCATAGGCATGCCTACCAGCTCTCAGAAGACAACACTTAGAAGTGTCCTAGAAAGGCCGTGTTTGGCATCACAACTGCACAGTCATCCACACACCCCTCCCTCAGATACACAGCAGTTCATGCTGTACTTCGTTCTGTACATACACAGAAAGAGAAAAGAACAGGACAGATGTAATGATCTTGCTTACTTCTTTCTCCACTTTCTCCCCAACTCTGAAAGTATTCCTTTGTTTCTTTTTCAATTATAGAAACATACTGCTTGAAGTGGGCTATGTTAAGACCGCTTTTTAACAATTTCTTCTGTTCCAAAAAAACCTTCAAAAAAAAAAAAAAAAGAATTAAGGGTCTACAACATTAAAATACATTTTTTATTTTATTCTAATATACATCAGGTTATTCTGACTACGTAACAAAGAAAACGTTCTTAAATTTGAGAGTAAAAACAATAAGAGTTTTCCTAAAAACCATACATGGAAACTTGAGATCATCCATGCCACATATTGAGATAACACATTAAAGGGGGGGGGGGGGGGTGTTCCTCTCCCAGGTCCTAGAAAATGTATGTCAGTAACCTATCTCTCGCCTTCTACTATCCCAGCACTCTACTCAGGGACCCACTTTCCTATCCTGGTTATCTTCTAATCCTCCAACCCAATGCAGTCAAGACACTCTCCCAAGTGTCCATCCATACTTTACTACTATTTTATCCTCTTTCACATAGGTTCTCATTGCAGTTCCAGATATCATTCATCACTGCCACTATCTTCCAGAAGTTTAGAACAGCCAGAATAAAATAATTTTGTTAAAATAACTAATAGCCCTCTGAGACACTTAAATTTTAAAAACTCTAATAAAACATGTTTAAAATAATGAGATAAATCTGAACAAAATTTTTTGGAAGCCATTGCTTTTGAACAAAAGGAGAAACATTCTTCTTCACACTACTCCCAACCCCAGAAACATTAATGTTGACTCTTAACTGCCATACTCATGTGGGCTAGTCTGCTATGGCCCTAGCCAAAGTTCACCAGGCACCTGAGTCTGTTACCTAATTATGTTTTACTCCTAACACTTCAATATTATGTTAATTTGGGAGCAGGTAAACATATAAAAAATATTCCATACCCAAAGTAGACACATTAAAAGAGATTTTTTCTTTTTAAGACGAGGTCTCATACTATAGTTCATGTTGGGCTTCCTGCATCAACCTCCCAAATGCTGGGATTACAGGTATGAGCCTCCACAGTCGGCATAAGAAGAGTTCTAAAGTCAACAATTTCCAACTCAAAGCTCCTGGGCTAAAATACCAAGTGGTAGTGAATAAGAAGTCCTTTTGATGAAATAGTGATAGTTTCTTGTTCCTCTCTCAAGTCAAAACCCAAGATGCTAAATTATTATTGACTCCATTTCTTGCCAACAAACATAAAACAAAACACCCATTCCTTAAATAGCTCCCCATGGTTTCTTTTTAAATATAGTCCTGCACTACAAGTGTGTAACATTTTACATGACTAGCTGTAACTGCTCGACTCTAGATTTGTCTTTTCTCCGGGACAGGAGCGTCACCTACTGCATTTGGCACATCGTACGCCACTCCCTTCCCAAACACGGGCGTTGTCAGTCGGCTGTAGACATCCTCTGCATTCAGATCTTCATTTTTACTATTGAAGAGCAGTGCAGCTGCGTCACTCCCCAGAAGGTAAGTAAAGGTCTTGCCCACCATGGTGAAGCTAAATACAGGTCCATACTGAAAGAGAAAGGTGATGTCACAAAAACATCCCTTACATCACAGACTAAGGAAAGTTCCAAATACAAACCTTTAAACAGCTGTTTTCATCTGGCCATATTACATCTCCTGTCTTCATCACAAAAGCAGTATAAATATAATGATTTATTCTTCTTCACAGTTTATCCTGAAAATATTTTCTACCATGCAAAACATCAAACCTCTAATGCATTCCATGAATCATTAGATGCCACAGTGTTAGCTCGGCTAGTTGCTTTTCATTATTGGATAGATAAGTAATATGCTAGTTGTTTTTAATTATCATTTTGTTTTATGCTGACTATATAGAATTCTTTACTCGACAGTTATAAGAATATTGTTTTCTCCCTTTTGTTAAAAACTAATTTATTGGGGCTGATGAGGTGCCTTGTGGGTAAAATCACTTGCCATCAAGCCTAATGACCTGAGTTTGATCTCCAGAACCGAATCGAATGACGTCAAAGACTCATTACAAAGAAAGGACTTGCACAAGTCAATCAGGAAAAGTGTGGTATAAGAACAGAGGATCCGGGACCAGGGAGCTGGCTCTACGTGCTGCTCCCTCGGAGGACCGGAGTTCAGCTCCCAGCACCCACAGGGAGCAGCTGTAGCCGAAGCTCTGGGGGATCTAATGCCCTCTCTGGCCTTGGCAAACAACTGCATTGAGGTGCACACCCCATTAGAGACACAAAGGCTTACACACAATGAAAACTAAATCTTAAGAAAAGTGTTGGGAATACACTTTGGACGCAGGAGGGACACACAAGCCCCAACCTCTAGCTGAGAGCTCCTGACAATTCACGGCTGCTAGGGGACAGTCAATGTTTTTAAGGTGTGGCCCCAAGTAGGTTGACCATGCTCTAATGGATGGCTCCATACTCATGCATATATAGACAGCACTAATTGGACTGAGTGTGTTATTTTTCTTAAAAAATAACAAAGTTGAGAGGGAGACATGGGGGAAGGATCAAGGGGCAATTGGAAAAGGGAAGTGGGAGTAAATATGATTGAAATACATTGTATACATTTATGAAATTCTCAGAGTATTTTAAATTACATTAAAACAAAGAATAGAGTTCACTTAAATCGTTAATACTGAGAAGTGAAATAATTAACAAGAAGTCCACAGCAGGACTTTGGAACAAATGGCTGATCTGGGGGAAAGCTCTGCTTACATTGGGAAGAAGCAGGCCTTGAGTGTTCACATCATCCACGTGGAGAGTGAAAACACACAAGACGGACAGAACAATCGACAAGAGATAGGAAATTCCAAAGACATATGATCAAGAAATGTGGGTGTTCTGGGCGGTGGTGGCGCACGCCTTTAATCCCAGCACCCGGGATGCAGAGCCAGGCAGATCTCTGTGAGTTCGAGGCCAGCCTGGTCTACAGATTGAGATTCAGGACAGGGACCAAAACTACACAGAGAAACCCTGTCTCGAAAAACCAAAAAAGAAATGTGGGTGTCAACGTTCACTATAATTAGTGAAAATAAAATTTAAGACTTTTTTAAAACGTAATTGTTAGAACTACAGGTTTCCTTGAATCTCAGAGACTATCCCAAGACAAACACTCTGAGAAGTTAATAGTTCAGCAAGGCCTTTTTATCTCTTAAACCAGAGATGTTTTCAATAACGCCAACAAACAGGGAGGGTACAGTGTTTTTTTTTTTTTTAATCTATTTACAGAAAAACACTTCTCTAGCTTCTCCACCTCCAGTTATTTAAAACACTTACCTTCTCATATGCGTTTTCCAGGAACTCAATTGGACTTTTCCCAAATGCTATTGCGTGACCAAGGAATGGAACTGGAGAGAAAATGTACGGCGGACTTTTCTGCAAAAGAAGAATGAAAAATTTAGTTTTCATTTCATTAAAAGAGCTTCATTAGATAGCCAGCTTGAGATTAATGTTAAAAAAAAAGTATATTTAGAGAAAGTATAGTCAAAAAGAACTCAAAACAGAAATGACTAGGCAGAAAGTCACTTCAATTTTAAACATTGGTAACTAACAAAAAAATGTCCAATATTATTGAGGCTCCAGGCAACTTTGTAGCCATTAGTGGAGCACACAAAGACGATAGAGTTGACCACAGGTCTCTGGTCTCTGACTCTACTAGCACTCCCTTCGATCTCAGAGTCTAACTTGACTTTTTCTGGAACAGAAAAAGCCAAATAGTAACCTACAGAAAAGAAAATGTTTCTCACATTTTCAGGGAAAAGGAAGTTTGCCATGCTTCTCTGACTGCAAATAGCTAGATCCACCAAGAGAGAATCAACCCTCTCCAGCAGAAATTCTGTAGCACTAGTCTTAAAGGGGCTTTAGATGCCACAAAATGAGATCTGCAGGTTGCAAGACTCTGTGAGGGAAAACCTGCAACTATGAAAACCAATGATGTTCCTCTAATCTTTGGTGGTCTCAAAACACCAAAACCTAGCCACACTTAGAATAAGGTAATTTGTCTTTCCAGTGACAAATAAAATCTCCTCAAAGTAGTGTAGAAGCTGGGTGTGTAAAGCACACTTGTAAACTCACAACCCAAGGGGTGGAAGCTGGAAGATGAGCCAAGGTGAGCCTTGGCTCCATACCAAGTTCCACCACCACCCTGGACTACAATAAGACCCCGTCTCAAAAAAAAAAAAAAAAAAAATACAAAACTCTTAAAATTGCATATCTAATACAAGTAAGAAATAGTAACTGCCTAGAGCTTGCTTGGGTTCAAACAAAAGTAATTTTAAAAGCAACTTGGTTGGAACGAATTGCTGGGTACAGTGCAGTTTTTACATTCCAGTTTCCAAAAGGAATTTTTACATTGTCAGCTTCCAAAGGGTGATTTCCAAAGCTACCGAATGTTGATTAAAAGGGTATTCATCAAATACATTTGGAAGACTTGAAGCTAGTGGTTTGCTGTAGCGCTACGCTAGATTAATTTAACAGCATCACAGGAAAGCCCTTACCACACTCTCCTGAGTCACTTACGAACTGGATGCAATCACCCTGACACTGTTATTAATCGCCATTACGTCCAAGAGTTCACAGGATAGTAAACACAGAAGGCAGTATCGACAGTGATGGCCACTAGGGCCGCAGCTGCCCATTACTCGCCGTCAAGACCCTCACAAAGAGCCTAAACACCTCGACGGGGAAAGGCAAAGCCAGTACAGAGCTCAGCACTTGCAGCCACAGGCAAGGCCATCAGACTAGTCACCTCCATCCAGGCCACTCAATCTGCACATCCATCACCAGTCTAACTACAAACGCTGCAAAGCACGATCCTAGCCAGATGATCAAAGCCACTGCCACCGCAGAAACCGCGACGGCCAGCACAGCCCCGACCGAATTCGGATTCCAGCGATGGGGCCAGCGTGACCACCGCCAACAGCAAAGACCAGGATCGCCGGCAGCACTGGCGTCTGTAGCCACCACCCGGGTCCCCAGCGCTCCCTCCACCGCAAGCGCCCCGGAGCCCACTCGCTTGGCCCGTGCACAGACCGAGGACCCCCGGGATGCACGTACCGCACCGGCGGGCAGCTGGACCGTGTAGCTTAGTGCGAGGCGGAACAGGTAGACCAGGCTGAGGGTGAAGGCGCAAGCGATGAGCAGCGTGGAGAGCAGGTTGCCTCCTGTCACCTGCTCCATCGCTTGGCCCAGCACCCAGCCGCCCGACTGCAGCAAGCCCAGCAACACCATCCCGGCCGCCGCTCCGCTCCGCCTAACCAACTGGAGGCCGAGGTCGCCGCCGCCGCCGCTTCCCCGAAAAGATGGAGGAGGAGAAGGCGGCAGGTGGGCGTCGGGAGGCGGCCTCGGCCTCCGGGTCTCGACAGGCCCGGGCTCCTCCCACACCCACGGCGGGCCGCGCGCCACCTGCACGTCACAGACGGGGCGGGGCCTCCGGGTGGCCACGCCCCCGGCTGGGTAGCGGGATCCTTGCGCCGAGGAGGGGGTCCTGAGAAAGTGGGCTTTGCCTATGGCACTGGGGCACGGGGAAGACAGTGATCGCTGCAGACACGACCGCGCCCCGAGAACCGCGGGCCACGAGGGCCCCTGTGTCCGGGGAGCACGGCGCCGGGGCCCGGCACGGGAGGGCGTGGCGGAGGGATCTGGGACTAGCGTGGTAGCGGGCGGAGAAGGGGGGGCGCTCTGTGATTGCACCGCGCGCCGCTGAGGTGATCTCGGCCTATGTGGCGTCAGCGGGACCAGTGGTCCGGGGACCGCCCACTCCGTGTGGCGCGGGCCGCTGCACCTATCCCGCGGAGGTGGCGCCTCCCAGGCCTTCAGTCAGACCGGCCCCCTTCGTTAGCCCTGCGATCAGAGTTGGGAAAAAACGCTGTCCTGCCCGTGCAGACTGCAGAGTGAGACCGTCGGGTCACGCCTACAGCCCTGTTCTAAGCTGACAGGTTCTTCGTGTAGACCCACAGAGTTAACACGTGACCGTCGTGTGGTGTGCTGTTGCCCCAAAACAAGCCTTCAAAAATAAATACAGGTGTATCATAAGTAAACTGAGACTTGGCCAAGATCCTGGAGTTCAGCCGAAGAGAGGGAGCAAGGGGGTCAGAATCGTGATGGGAGAAACCACAGGAATCGCTGACCCAAGCTGGTGCGAGCCCATGGACCCTGCACTGACGGCTGGGGAGCCTGCATGGGACGATCTAGGCCCGCTGAATGTGGGTGAAAGTTGCGTGGCTTGGGACCAGGACTTATCCCGGGTACACGAACGGGCTTTTTAGACCCCACCTTGATGCAGAGGGGAGGGGCAAGTCCATCCCAACATGGTATGTCAGCCTGTGTTGACTACCCAAGGGAGGCCTTACCCTCTATAAGGAGGGGATGCGGTGGGGTGAGGGTAGGTGTGGGGAGCGGGAGAAGAGGAGGGAGGGGGAACAGGGGTTGGTATGTAAAAGGGAAGAAAATAATTTTAATTTTATATAAAAAAAATTATAAAGTTAATGTGAGGTTAGACATAACCCATATTCCTAATAAATTAAGTATATTAAAAAAAAAAAAAAGAAAGAAAAGTAACTGAGACACCATCACGAGGGGGAGCCTGGCAGCAGACAGGCTTGGCAGCAGGAGCAGCTGAGAGCTCACATCTCAAACCTAAAACAGGAAGCAGAGAGAGTGAATGGAGAATGGTATACAGCTTTTGAGACTTCAAAGCCCACCTGCAGTGATACACTTCCCACAAGGCCATGCCTAAGCTTCCCCAAACCCACTGAGGACCTCTGGAGTATTCAAAAACCCAAGACTATGGGGGACATCTCATTTAAACCACCTCAACGGCTAATCATAATTTACTACAATGTATCATGTATGTAATTTGGGTTCAACTCCTGTTTAAGGGTATTTAAAAAAAAAAAAAAGTAAGGGGGCTGGAGAGATGGCTCAGCAGTTAAGAGCACTGGCTGCTCTTCCAGAGGACCTGGGTTCAATTCCCAGCACCCACATGGCAACTCACAACTGTCTTTAACTCTAGTTCCAATGGATCTAACTCCCTCACAAAGGCATGCAGGTCAGACACCAATACAAACAAAACACAAACAAAGTAAGTAGGTAAGAGAGTTGTTAAAAGGGGGATAAAAATAAAGATATTTTAAAATTATTTGTACACAGTAATGAAGATGCTTGGATGTCTTTCCAAAATGGAAAGAAAATCTAAAAAGCCTAAAACAAGACATAAAAGAGCTGAGAAGTTATGTAAAGTAGGTCAAGGTGAGGCTTGGAGATGATGTACACAATATCAAAATTTCTTAAAGTCTAATACACTGATTAATATCAAACCTCTACATAAAATAAACAATGGAGTTCTCAGAAGTTATTAATCTACTCTTGGGAATAATTCTAAATACTGATTTAAAAAAACCTGATGTATGTCTCACCAAAGCTTATTTAAAACATTACACAATAGTTAAAATCCTGGACTGGAATAACTGACATGCTCAACAACCAGGCTTAGAGGCCAATACTGATGGTCAGAAGAATTAAAAGTGAGGATATTTTCCCCCTACCCTCCAAAGTCAGCTAAATCCCAGGGAACTGTGACAGTCCTCAAAATGTCCCTTGTCTCTGATGAGTTTCCTGTTCAGAAGGCGTTGGAAAATCCACTGGGTGAATTCTAGCCAGTATCCCGTCTGAAAAGAGGAGGATGGACACACAGGAAAAATTCCTCCAAGTCAAGCAAGGTCTTAGGTGCATAACTGGTAAAAGGGAAGCGAGAGAAGCCAGAGGTTCCTCCAAGTCCAAGCACCCCTGAGGGCTAGATCCTCTCGACAGGGTGTCTCTGGGTAGTTTTAGTGCCTGTCCTGGATCTCGCTCTGTTGACCAGGCTGGCCTCGAACTCACAGAGATCTGCCTGTCTCTGCCTCCCAAGTGCTGGTATTAAAGGCATGAGCCACTACACCTGGCAAGAAAATTATTAATTTTGACCTCCTGTGTCGTCTTAAGTGCTCAGCAGAAAAGTATAATCAAGGATTAAAATGTTAGATACAGTTCTTTAACAGTACAAGGGACTACAGTATTCAGACATAAAGCTAACCTTGTGAGATATCATTTAGACAACGACCTCTCACTAATGATTTCTCCTTGATAAGAAGAATGCTGCTCAGCCATAGGACTTCATGACGCTCACCCAATATGACGCTCACTCAATTCAACACTGCTGCCCCTCCCTGCAGCTAAGACAAGCAGGCCCACCTTCTCAAACACTGGGGCCAAATGTAAAGTGTTTTGCTTTTTTTGTTTTTGTTTTTGTTTTTTTTTTTACCAACTATGGAACATGCTCACTCTGAAAGATCACTTTTCACAACCGTAACATGACCTTCTTGCCCTAACCACCCATGTTCTCTGATTAAAGATTAAAAGAAGCTACCAGTATCCTATTGCCAAACTCACAGGTTTAAGGGAAATTATTTGGGATACCTGAGTGGAGCTCATAGGGCACCCCAGGATATCTTACAAGACAAGCCCCAGTGGAGTGTATTTCTTTGACTGTCAATTAGAGACTGGTGTCTGCTTGTGTCCTCAAGAAGAATGGGATCCAGATTTCACTAGGCTTGTAGACTAATTTCTAAACTGTCATATTAAATAAGAAACACAGAGCCAAACACAGAGGTGCAAGTCATAGAGATCAAAGCAATAGCCGCCAACTAAGCTTAACTTACCACTTTGCCATAGCTTCCCAAGAGAACTTCCTGTCTAACCTGTGCCTTTATTGCCTTCCTGTTCTGCCTTCTCATTGGCAGCCCAGCCACATCACTTCCTCATCACTGCCTGTCTATACAGACCTCCAGGTCTCTATGGTTGGTACTTGGATTAAAGGCATGTGTCACCACACTTGGCTGTGTCCTTAAACATCCAGAGTCTCTGCCTGCCATGTGATCGGATTAAGGGCGTGTGCTACCAACACCTGACTTCTGCTTATGGTTGGCTATGACCTCTGATCTCCAGGCAAACTTTACTTATTAACATACAAATAAAATATCACATTTCAGCACAAATAAAATATCACCACATAGGCTCCTATTGGGGATTAAGGGGGTCCAGCCTTTGATAGTCCCCTCCCAGGGTCTGGGAAGAATCTACAACTAGCTGATAATTTAATCTTTGAAGATAAGAAATGAATCTATGTACACGAAACTCCTAAGTTCATACACTTTATTATTCTGTGTCAGTCCTCTCTTTACACAGCTTCTATTCTGCTCTCATGCCTAGCTCCTTCCTTGCCTGATTCCTCTCTACATTTATCTGCTGTCCCCTCTAAGTTCTATCTTAATTCTCTCATCTTAGTTCTGCCCCATCCAGGTTCTCATTCATCTAGTTCTTTCCCATCTTAGCTTCTCTCCCATCTCCTTCTTCCTCATCTTGTTCTTTCTCATCTGGCCCTTCTTTATCTTCTTCCATCTTGTTCCTCTGGTACTCTCTTCTAGCCCTCTAATCTAGTTCTTCCCCATCTAGTTCTTCTGTTCTCTTTTCTCTGTCTAGTCCTCAAGTTCTCTAGTAAAAATCTTCCTTCTCCCTCTCAGTTCTCTGATTCTCTCAGTTCCTCCCAAGTCACTCAGGGATCCAGTAATAAACCCAAGCAAAGCAATCCTCTGGCCGAGCAAGGTCACCAGGCTTGATTGAATTCTATGGAGTCATAAAGGTAGGTAAGAATTTTCCTAAGGCAGTGACCAACAGGCTTTCTTTTACAACCCAAAATGAAAGTGGTAAAAAGAGGAGGTCAACTGAGTGCTGACTGGTTAGTATATGAAAAAGGGGATCTATGTGCTCAGTCTACATTCTGAGAAGTGGTTAGGTAAGAAGTTACATAGGGCACCCCAGGATATCTTACAAGACAAGCCCCAGTGGAGAGCATTTCTTTCTCAGACTGTCAATTAGAGGCTGGTGTCTGCTTGTGTCCTCAAGAAGAATGGGATCCAGATTTCACTAGGCTCCTTCAGTTCACCTTATTAAACAAGACATAGCAACCCTGATGCTGAGGAATTCTCAGTCTTATTTCTCAGTGTTTCCCACAAGGTTGTAATAGATCCAATGACCAACCTCTGCATTGAGGCTAGACCGTGAAAACCTCCTTGAGTTCTTGAGCTAGACCGACAGGCTTCTTCATGATGTCTACCTTAAGGTGGGCGGCGGTAAAGCTGTCATCAAGCTCACTGACACCTGTGACAAAGCTGGCCAGGGCTTCTTGGGATGGGCTGTTCTGTTCTGTTTTGGTTTGTTTTGCCTGATCTTTTCCTCTAATAAGGGCAAGCCTGACCAACTCCTCTCCTAACTACACTCTCTGCAGGATTATAATTATACTTACTTTGTGTATGTTACAGGCACCTCTTCACCGGTGTCGCACACCCTAAGGAGGTGTGCTAACCTCAACTGGCAGTTCTCCACTGCGGATCTCCACCAATGACTGAGTTCCACCATTGCCCCTTAGACCAACCCTCCTGGGAGGGACTGACTGCTGGCCTCTTCCTACCATGCCCCTTTTGCCAGCTTTAAGCAGAGTGGTATACACTTTCCCCAAAACTCCAGAAACAGTTAGGGTGACCTCTGGGAG